CCGGTGCGATTATGCGTTTTTGCACTTTTCGTGCCATAGCAAAATCGCAAGAAATCATAGTAGCTAACCCTGTGACATACTGGCCCTCGACGTTCGGGAAGTTGATTGTGCAACTATGTGGTATGTCAGTTGTAGATGTCGGCTTCAGTGACCCAGCAAATGGAAAGGTAATGGTCCGCAAAAAAGACCACACTAGCAGAGTTAAATCTGAAATCTTTTAATCGCACATAAGAGGGAACATTTCCTTAAAATTAAAGCCTTCAGCTTATCTTCTTTCCGAATTGGCAGTTTTCCCACCAAAATTTTCACGTGTCCTTACATGATTACCGGACGGCTTTAAGGAGCTGAATTTAAAATCTTTTGGTCATGCATGAGTAAGGAACATTGTCCTATAGTTTCAGCCTTCTAGCTTCTTCTGTTCCTGAGTTAGTGATTTTCGCGCCAAAACTTCCATGTGCCTGTACATGGGCCCCAGGTGCTTCTAAACACCTGATTTTGGTCAGACATGAGTAAGGAACATTCCTTTAAAGTTTCGGCTTTCTAGCTTTTACTGTTCCCGAGTTAGTAATTTTGGCGCCAAAATTTCCACGTGCTCGTACTTGGGTTCCGGCTGCTTCTAAACACCTGATTCTGCTCGTGCATGAGTACGGAACATTCCTTTGAAGTTTCAGCTTTCCATTTCTTCCCATTCCCGGTTTAGTAGTTTTCGCGCCAAAACTTCCACGTGCTCGTACGTGAGCCCCGGGCGCTTCTAAACATTTAATTTTGCTCGTATATGAGTAGAGAACATTCCCCCAAAGTTTCAGCTTTCTAGCTTCTCCTATTCCTGTGTAAGTGATTTTTGCGCCAAAATTTCCGCGTGACGCACGTTGGCTTCGGTCACTTTTAAGCACCTGATTTTGGTCGTGCATGAGCAGGGGACATTACCGCAAAGTTCCAGCTTGCTAGCTTTTCCCGTTCCCAGGTTAGCAATTTTCGCGCCAAAATTCCCACACGTTCGTATGTGGACCCGAGCGCTCCTAAATACCTGATTTTGCTCGTACATGAGTAGGGAACATTCTTTTAAAGTTTCAGCTTTCTAGCTTTTACTGTTCCCAGGTAAATAATTTTCGCGCCAAAATTTCCACATGCTTGTACGTAGGCCCCGGGCGCTTCTAAACACCTAATTTTGCTCGTACATGAGTGGGGAACATTTCCTTAAAGTTTCAGCTTTCTAGTTCTTCCCGCTCCCGGATTAGTAATTTTCGCGTCAAAACTTCCACGTTCTCGTACGTGGGCCCTGGGCGCTTCTAATCACCTGAATTTGTTCGTACATGAGTAAAGAACATTCCCCCAAAGTTTCAGCTTTCTAGCTTCTCCTGTTCCTGTGTTAGTGATTTTCGCGCCAAAATTTCCGCGTGTGAGCACGTGGGCTCCGGGCACTTTTAAGCATCTGATTTTGGTCGTACATGAGCAGGGGACATTATCGCAAAGTTTCAGCTTTCTAGCTTTTACTGTTCTCAGGTAAATAATTTTCGCGCCAAAATTTCCACGTGCTCGTACGTGGGCCCCGGGCGCTTCTGAACACCTGATTTTGGTCGTACAAGTTTAGGAAACATTCTCTTAAAGTTTCGGCTTTCTAGCTTTTCGCGTCCTCGAGTTAGCAATTTTCGCGTCAAAAATTTTCACGTGCCCATGCGTGAGCCCCGGGCTGTCCTAAGGAGTTGAGTTTGAAAACTTTTGGTTGCACATGAGTAGTGAACATTCCTCCAAAGTTTCAACTTTCTAGCTTTTCTCATCCTCGAGTTATGAATTTTCGCGCCATAATTTTCACGTGCCCGTACGTGAGCCTCGGGCAGTCCTGGGCAGCTGAACTTGAAATCTTTTTATCATACACAGGTAGGGAACATTCTCTCAAGATTTCAGCTTTCTAGCTTTTCTTGTTTCCA